AGGCTAATATTATTAACCATTTAAAAGTTATGAACAAAAAACTCTTGTTAAATTTCGTTGTTTTCTATGGGCAATTACACCGACAAAGATTCACTAAATCACCTGTTCTCACTTTTTAAAAACTATTAGAATATATAATTTAACTTATTTATTAAACAAACACATAGTTTTATCAACCTAAGATAGATTATTTTGTTATTAAAAAGAAGTTGACAATCTTTGCGAACTGAAACGCGAGATTCCAAAATAGCTATAGTGCTGCCACTATATTAGTATTTCGTAATAATTCACTTTTCCTTATAAGGTGTGTGCACTGTTCAATGCTTTTCGGTATCTTCTTTCGTTTAATATATATATAAATAATGAAAATTTTTAATAAAAAATCGCGCGATTTTTTGTTAAAAATTTTCGGCTGCGGCGCTTTTTTCATAAAAATCAATACTTCGATAAATAATGAAAATTTTTAATAAAAAATTGAGCGATTTTTTATTAAAAGGTTTTCACCTGCGGCGCTTTTTTTATAAAAATCAATACTTTGATAAATAATGAAGATTTTTAATAAAAAATCGCGCGATTTTTTATTACAAATTTTCGCCTGTGGCGCTTTTTCCATAAAAATCAATACTTCGATAAATAATGAAAAGTTTTAATAAAAAATCGCACTTTTGGCACTCCATGACGCTTACTTTTAATTACAGCTAAAATAACTGTAAACCATAAAAGTAGCGCTGCCATGGTATAGCGAAATTTGCTATTATATTTTGGTTAGAATATCTTATTTAGGTGAAAGTAAAAAAAGAAGAAGTGTATAGTGTAAACTGAGTATAATAGCGCAAATGAAATGTGAAATAAAGTGGCAATACCAGCGACTTGAGGTTATAATAATCTTGGCAGGCGCAAAGTTTGTTTACTCTGTTTTATTAACGAAATATATAAATAAAAGTGAATAAATGATTTGGTTTGCATAAAATAATAACCGGAGACGTTTTAATAGTGTTTTAAAAGTGTAAACTGGTATTTAGTGCATTTTTGACGTGGTAATTGCTCATAGAAAACAACGAAATTTAACAAAAGTTTTTTGTTTATAACTTTTAAATGGTTAATAATATTAACCCTCCAGATTGTTAATAGGGGGGCCGAAACGCGTCGTTTGGTACCCCTCCCGACTTTTCCGGATCTTTTTTAGGGGTTGTTACCCTACACTAGAGAATTACCGTTTAATATCATACAAAACCCTTGAAAAAAAAAATTATTATTTTTTAACATTAAAATCTAAAGATTATTAAAAAAATAAAACTAATATAAAAAAATACTAAATATAAAAAAAATCCTCTACGCCCGAGGAGTACTCGAACCCGGACCCTCTCGACGGGCAGCCTAATGCTTTGACCACTCGGCCATTGCGCCTCTTCTGGCGGCGAGGCAAAAGGCATACGTAAACGCTATCAGTTTACTGTCTGTGTTTGTTTTCACCACATATAAATTCGCCTTGCACACACTGTTACAGATTTTGACAGTTTATGCCGCCAAAGCAAAAACAAAACACATGTAAATTTTTGTTTTTGTACTCCTGCTATCACCTTATATTAATTCGCCTTGATATAACTGTTTGTGTGTATCGAAATAGATACAGTTGATTTTTAGTTTCTGTGAAAGGAAAACGTGTGTAGCAATGAGTTATAAGTCGTGAGAAACTTGAAGAATTTTATGTTTGAATTAATAAAAATGAAATAAATTTACATTTTACAAAATACTACAATCTACTTTAATCACGGTGTGTTTAAGCAATTTCTAAATTTTTAGTTCGTTTGCTTTGTGAACCAGTTAAAGGGTACGGTAATATTTCATTGTGAAATTTAGTTTGTGTATGTACGTATGTATGTAAGTGTGGATTGCAGAAACACCGACTAGCAAATCCTTTTTTTTTATCGACAATGCCGCTTTAGGTATGTAACAAGGCGAACACATAAGGTGGTATCGATTGAACAAATACAACAATTACTTGTATTTTGTTTTTGCTTTTAGCGGGCCATTGCCAAATTTCAGCTATTCTTTCCCGAATGAAAAAGGGCGACGGAAAATGCAAACACTCACGTTTTCACTAACGAAATTCAAAATTTTGACAATCAAACGCTACTCGCATCTGATGAAACAACACCACCTTATATAAGTTCGCCTTGGTATGTAATTTACATCAGGCGATTTTACAGGCAATTTTAGTTGAATGGTGTAAATCGCCTTTCAAGTAATCGCCTGTGAAAGTTGAATCATGTACATTTGCTATTAGCCCGAGGATCAACGCGCGGTTGTTAATAGCGTTCACTGCATTTGCTTATGTAAATACATATCGTGTAAGAGCGCTATAAGCAATTTTTATTTGAGCACATTGTTTAGGTGTGGGAAATTTAATGTGTAGAAATTACAAGTAATTTTTACCCTGGCATTCAGTAAGCGGTCTCTAGTCACTAATAGTGACTTTTGTTGGTGAACTTGAATTTTGAGACTATTTGGTATTCAGTACGCTGTATGACGTCTCTAGTCTCAAAAAAAGTCACTAATTTGTCAGCTGGCTAAGAGCAGGTCTCAAAAATTAAAATATGGATAAAAAGTTAATTGATTTCCATTTTATTACAAAAAAAATGCGAATATGAAGCAAGGAAATTTGTTCAATAAGAATTTCGTTAGGAAATAAACCAAAATGCTTTAATAGGTAATTCTCTAGTGTAGGGTAACAACCCCTAAAAAAGGTCCGGAAAAGTCGGGAGGGGTACCAAACGACGCGTTTCGGTCCCCCTATTAACAATCCGGGGGGGAAGGCTAATATTATTAACCATTTAAAAGTTATGAACAAAAAACTCTTGTTAAATTTCGTTGTTTTCTATGGGCAATTACACCGACAAAGATTCACTAAATCACCTGTTCTCACTTTTTAAAAACTATTAGAATATATAATTTAACTTATTTATTAAACAAACACATAGTTTTATCAACCTAAGATAGATTATTTTGTTATTAAAAAGAAGTTGACAATCTTTGCGAACTGAAACGCGAGATTCCAAAATAGCTATAGTGCTGCCACTATATTAGTATTTCGTAATAATTCACTTTTCCTTATAAGGTGTGTGCACTGTTCAATGCTTTTCGGTATCTTCTTTCGTTTAATATATATATAAATAATGAAAATTTTTAATAAAAAATCGCGCGATTTTTTGTTAAAAATTTTCGGCTGCGGCGCTTTTTTCATAAAAATCAATACTTCGATAAATAATGAAAATTTTTAATAAAAAATTGAGCGATTTTTTATTAAAAGGTTTTC